GCTGTCTCCTCTCCTTGCCTTTTTGATGCCCTTGCTCTCAGGCCTCCGAGTGTGCATTTCCATGGGTGCCTGGGAGGCCCTGACTCTAGAGCCCTTTCGCTCCTTCTTCTCTTTAGTGGTCCATTGTCACCCTGGGGATGGGATGACTTCCTCAGGGAAAGCTGGAGTGCTTTCCTGTGGCCTGCACTCTCCTGAGAGATGAGTTGTGAGGGAACTAGCTCAGGGGAAGCTGTCTTCTTCCTATACTGGGAGCACTTCATTACTTCATTTAGGAGCTGTCTTCCTCCTCGCTTGCCTCAACAGGAGGCTGGCCTGTACAAAACAGAGGTTTATGGAGAGAGCTGCACTGCCTACCTAGGCAGTGGGCAGGCCCTCAGGGTAGAAACAGGACCCACTGACCCCCTCTGCTCCAGACAGACCCGGTGCGACTGACCCAGCTGTATGAGCAGGCCCGCTGGGACTTGCTGACTGAGGAAATCGACTGCACTGAGGAGGAGATGATGGTGTTTGCTGCCCTGCAGGTGCCTAGGGCCCCGGGGTGCTGGGATACAGGGTCAAAAGGCCTTCCAGAAAGGGACCCATCTCCAAAGAAGTCCAGCATGGGGGTTCTGTGGGGCAGATAGGCCTCAGACTCAGCTCTAATTGACTATGTGTCCCTAGTACCACATCAACAAATTGTCCGTGAGTGGGGACATGGGTGAACCGGCCTCTGGGGACTTGGGGTTGGATGACCTGGATGCGGCCCTGAACAACCTGGAGGTGAAGCTGAAGGGGTCAGCACCCTCAGACATGCTGGTGAGGAGGGGCTTGGGCTTGGGAATGAGGTTGGGGTCAGGACCATGTAGGGGACCCAAGGTTGCCTCTGACTTCTCTCCTTCCCCAGGATAGCCTCACCACCATCCCGGAACTCAAGGACCATCTCCGAATCTTCAGGTTAAGTGTGGGGCCAGCTGAGAGGGGGAGAGGGGGAAGGCGGAGAGTCCATGGGTCACAAGTTTCCTACTTCCTCCAGGCCCAGGAAGCTGACCCTGAAGGGCTACCGCCAGCACTGGGTGGTATTCAAGGACACCACGCTGTCCTACTATAAGAGCCAGGATGAAGCACCCGGGGATCCTATCCAGCAGCTCAACCTCAAGGGTGAGAGAATTCCCCTTAGCAACTGTGCTCAGCCTGTTTCCTCCTAGGGACCTGGGTGGATACCGTCTGCCCTGAGACAGCTAAGCGTTGGGCAGGCTTTTATACAGGGCCCTCTTTTTTCCTGAGACAGGGTTTCTCTGTAGCTTTGGAGCCTGTTCTGGAACTCACTTTGTAGAACTCACAGCAGTTCACCTGCCTCTGCTTCCCAAGTGCTGGGATTAAAGGTGTGCACCACCTCACTGCCACTTAGCCATACATCAACCCCTTAGCCACCCCATTCTCCTTGCAGGCTGTGAGGTGGTCCCTGATGTCAATGTCTCTGGCCAGAAGTTCTGCATCAAACTCTTGGTGCCCTCACCAGAAGGCATGAGTGAGATCTACCTGCGCTGCCAGGATGTGAGCAAGCTGGGCCAAAGGGGTAACAGGAGTGGGAGGGCAGGGCTGGAATGACATTCAGGGTATGAATGAACATGGCCAGAGCATACTCACCACATTCTCTGTCCTTGCTGCAGGAACAGCAATATGCACAATGGATGGCTGCCTGCCGGCTGGCCTCCAAGGGCCGTACTATGGCGGACAGCAGTTATGCCAGTGAGGTGCAGGCCATTCTGGCCTTTCTTAGCCTGCAACGGGCAGGTGGTGGCAGTGGAGGTTCAGGGAACAACCTCCAGGGCCCTGAAGCCTCTGCTGAGAGCCTTAATCCCTATGGCCTTGTGGCTCCCCGTTTCCAGCGAAAGTTCAAGGCCAAGCAGGTGCCAAAGGAAATGTGGGTGGGAACTGCCACAGTGTTTACCTAGCCACCCGTGACCCCTGGACCTCCAATAGAACCCTCTTCTTTAAGAAACACTGCTTGTTTCTTCCTTCTGCTGTCTCAGGGACCTCTCTGAACGTGTTCCATGTCTAAAGTAGGGCCTGATTTAGCCACGTGTGCACCTCGGTGATACCCTCAACAGGGCAGGCAGGGAGATGGGGAGGGGGGATTTTAGGGACTTTAGATAAAGGGAGGCCCTAAGAGTCCCTTAACAGTATGGTTCCACAGCTCACTCCACGGATCCTGGAAGCTCACCAGAATGTGGCCCAGCTCTCACTGATAGAGGCCCAGCTGCGCTTCATCCAGGCCTGGCAATCTTTGCCTGACTTTGGCATCTCCTATGTGGTGGTCAGGTATGATTCCAGCCCTGCAAAACAAAGCACTGTTTCTGCCCTCACTTGCTGCCTGATGCTGTGTGCTCACAACCCAGATGGGTCCCAGGTCCCCTCTTCTCTGTGGACCTCCCCTGAGATTCTGTGTATTTCCCAGAGTGCACTGTCATAGATATCCAAGAGACAGAACTCATGTCAGGCAAGCAGAAGACACAGTTCTTATCCTAACTTTGTCATAGATGCTTCCCTCTCTGGGCCTTGGCCAGCTGTCCCTGGTGCTTCAGGGAGGACCCTGAGAACTCAGTTCCTAAGTGCAGAGAGATGAATGGTGGTTGATGATACACTCAAGATCATTACTTAATGGCATGAGTTATGTGCTTAATGTTCCCAAATGCCATTATGATGCCCTCACCTTGTATGCATTTGTGTCTGTGGGGGTACCCTCCCACATTGTTCTTCAGGGGCTGCCCATCTTGTTTTTCTATTATATTTTTGCTTTTTTGGGGGGATGGGAATTTTAAAACAGGGTTTCTCTGTGTAAGCTCTGACTGCCCTGGAACTCACTCTGTCTGTAAACCAACTGGCCTCTAACTCACAGAGATCCACCTGCCTCTGTTCCTGGTAATATATATATATATATATTATATATATATATATATATATATATATTTATATATATATATATATATTTTTTTTTTTTTTTTTTTTGCCAGTCGGTGCTTGCACATGCCTTTAATTCCAGCAAAGGCAGGCATATTTCTATGAGTTCAAGGCCAACCTACCTGATCTACAGAGTGAGTTCCAGGACAGCCAGGGTTACACAGAGAACCTGCCTCAGAAGACCAAAAAAGAAAAAAGGATTTGGTTTTTCCTGTATGTGTGTTTTGCCTGCATATGTACATATATACTGCATACAGTGCCGAGTGCCCACAGAGGCCAGGAGAGACACCAGAGCCCTTGGAATTGGAGTTAAGGGCCCCCATGTGGTACTGGGAACCCAACCTGGGTCTTCTATAAGCACTGTAAGTGTTCTTAACAGCTGAGCCATCTCTCCAGCCCCTCAGCTTACAGTTTACATTTTCAGCTTCTTTATTTTGTGCATGTGCACATGTGGAGGTCAGAAAACAACTTACAGGAGCCTGGTCCTCCCCTTTCACCACATGGTTTGGGAGTAAGCTCAGCTCAGGCCATTAGGCTTCAGGGGGCTGAACCTTCCTGCTGGCCTTTTTTTTCCCCCTCAAGCCAGGGTTTCTCAGTGTAACAGCTCTGGCTGTCCTGGAACTCACTCTGTAGACCAGGCTGGCCTCAAATTCACAGATCTGCCTACCTCTGCCTCCCTGGTACTGGGACTGACTAAAGGTGTGCACCACCAGCGCTCAGGCTGTTTTCTTAATGTTTTTATTTTAAATCTGTGTGTCTGTGCACTTGCTGTGGCAGTTGTGCGGGGCCAGAGGACAGCCTCTAGGACAGCCTTTCCCTTCCACCTTGTTTGAAACTAGAGTTCTTACTCGTCACTGTGTACTGCAGGCTAGCTAGCAGCAGACTGTGCAAAGACTCCTGTCTCTGGCTCCCGACTTGCCGTAGGCACACGGTAGATGTGTTAGGGTTACTCATGAGGCAAGAGCTCTATCCACTAAGCAGTCTCTCCCGGACTGTCCCAGGGATCAGTCCTCAGGGCTTCATACTTGCAAGGCAGGTACAGAGAGAGCTTCATTCACCATGTATCAAGTCTGGTGTGAATTCCTGCCTCAGTCCTTTGCTGGGATGACAGACATGCTGTACCATGCCTGGGAGTCCATGAACAATCCTAGTTTTTCGGAGCAGATGCTTAAGGCTGCCTCAGGCTGAGCAGCTGTAGGGCTGCAGAGCTGGGGCAGGTGAAGCTGTGCTCTACCCTGAGGGCTCTGGAGCAGTGTGCACAGGGTAGGGTCCAGGGCCACACATGGTTCTCACTCATACCCTCACCCCACGGAACTTAGGTTCAAGGGCAGCAGGAAAGATGAGATCCTGGGCATTGCCAACAACAGACTAATCCGCATTGACCTGGCCGTGGGTGACGTGGTCAAGACCTGGCGCTTCAGCAACATGCGTCAATGGAATGTCAACTGGGACATTCGACAGGTAGGCCCCAGGGGAGGACAGGGGCAGGTGGCCAGCTCAGACATAGCTAGGGCAAGGCAGAAACTGCTGCTTGTTGCCCCTGACCACTGGACCTGTGACCACCCACCTGCAGGTGGCCATTGAATTTGATGAACACATCAATGTGGCCTTCAGCTGTGTGTCTGCCAGCTGCCGCATCGTACATGAGTACATTGGTGGCTACATTTTCCTGTCTACTCGAGAGCGGGCTCGCGGAGAGGAACTGGATGAGGATTTGTTCCTGCAGCTTACAGGTGGCCATGAGGCCTTCTGAGGGAAAGCAGGTTGCCCCTGCTCCACTCACCACCTCCAGGGACCCTTGCAAGCCCACATTCACCTGAGCTCACTGTTCCACACTGCACCATGCCGGGTACCTTCACCTGCTGTCACTGGCAGGCCAGGGCCCTGGGTGGGGTAGACACTGCCACCATCCAGCCTAGAGATGGTAGGCCCTGAGCCACACAGAGCCCCTCCAGAAGCTCACATCCCTGACCTATATGTAGTCCCTAAGCACATGAGGAATGCCAGATACAGATAAGGAACAAGGAATCCTGATTTCAAGCTGGACTTTCTGTGACTGATTTCAGATTTTTAATAAATAAATATTTTATTGTTGGACCTTTCTCCCTCCTCTGGAGCTGTGCTTGGGGCCACTCTGATACTCCGTCTCTTTATCACCAGCCAAGGAGAGAAGCTTTCCTGAGGATGAGACAAGAGTTGCTAAGAGAAAAGAACATATAAGTCAGCCTATGGTAGGGAACTTTCAAAGAGTTTGAGGGCAGAGGGCTCAAGCTTCAGAATACAGGGTAGGTGGTAATTTGGTTCTCACGGGTAGGTCGTAGTTGCAGGGCCTCCTTGAAGTACTTAGGAAGTAGGAAGCCTTCAGCATTCCCTGGTGTCAGGATCACCCCATTGGCAGAGCGGAAGAAGAGGATTCCATCTGCTCACAGAGCTAGAGATGTGACTGGTGCCCCTCTCTGACAGATATGGGAGAGTCTCTGGAGGGTCCACACGTACCTGCCAGGGCTAGGGGTCCATCGATGAATATCACTACTTCACAATTTGGGCGCATGCCTGTGGGGACAACTAGACTTGGACCTGGGGCACCTGGGCAGAGGGAGTCTCTAGGTGGGGTAGGGATATACTGCTCCATGCAAGTGGTCTCACACAAAGGAAGCTGCGACCCTTGGTAGGGAGCCTAAGGTGGGGGCCAGAATAGATGAAAGTGACACTGACCACTGATGACACCAGGGTCCCCAGGTAATCCTGAGGCCAAGTGGATATGTGCCCTTCCTTGGCATGACAAGCCCTTCAGTAGAATAGATGGCCAATGCTTCCAGAATGTACCATGGGCTAGCATCAAAGGCAGGGCTTGTGGTGTCTCCAGGGGCATCAGCTCCAACTCAGGTACCTGGGAATGAGTGTTTGAATGGACAGGATAAGATCTTTGTGAAGTGGGGTCCCACCTGGCTCTCCCTCCCACTTGCCCCTTGGCACCCACTTGTAGGGAGTGGCCCTGATTGGCCCTGATAAGAGGGCCAGTGCTGGGCTCGCCTGGCTGTAGGGCAAACCGCTGCTTTCCATTGGTGTCCACCACGTGCTGCACATCCTCCATTGAGAAGCTGTGGAACTGAGGCAGCTGCAGGAGGGCTCGCAGGGGCACAAAGCCATCTGCAGGATGGGGGTGGGCTCAGGAGTCAGGGCGATGGTTGACAGGAGAGCCATAGGCAACTGGAACAAAGGCTAGGCCTGGGAGGTCACATAAGCCTCTTTCGTGTGACTTTTAGGAAGGCTTCCCTTTTGGGGTCTCGTGTTTTTTCTTTTTTCTATACTGTAGTGGAACAAAGAGCCTTGCACTTGCTAGGCAAGACCTCCGCTCTGCTAAGACTTCTATTCCAAGCCTCATTTTTCTTAACTTACACAGGAAGGTGACCACCTTCATAGTGGCCATATTTGTACATGCCTATATGTCCAGCAATTGGGAGATTCAGGCAGAAGAATCAAGAGTTGAAGGTATTTTCAGGCTAGCCTAGGTTATATGACACCTTGTCTCAAAATGAAAACGAAAGGGCTTTAGAGATGGTGCATCAATTAAGAACACTGGCTGACCTTCAAAGGAGCTGGGGTCTGATTTCCAGCACTCCCATGGCAGCGTCCAACCGTCTGAACTCCAGTTCCAGGGACCCAGTGCCCTATTCTGCCTCCACAAGTACCAGGTATGCATGTAGTGCAGACACACACGCATGCAGGCAAAACACTCATACACAAACATAAATAATAAATAAATAAATCCTAAAACAGACAGCATATCTGCTTCAGGGAGAGTAACAGCAAGCACTAAGTACTTTCCCAGAATGGCCTTCCAATAAATAGCAGCTGCCTCAGTATATACCCTCTCCATCTTTCGGAAGTGTTTATAGGGCCAGTTGGCTGAAAGAAACATTATGAGGCCCAGTCTGGACAGGGACTTCTCTTCCAGAGGACACGAGAAAAACACTGGGCCTTGTTTTTCTTGTGCATTCCGAGAGTGTGCCTATTCTGTGCCCCTCCTGGGGCAGGGTTGAAGTTGAGGAGACAGGGTTCCAGTTGTTCTCTGGGCCCCTACTTTTCCTCCCAGCTTCCACCATGTTCACTTACCAGCTCGCATGGGAAGTCCCAGCTTCAAGGCTCCATGGCGTAGGGCATAGGACAGAGCCTTAGACAGCTGCACATCTCGGTCCTGAAAGAGTCCAGTGACGGCCTGAGCCCCCTGAATGTCCTACTGCAAAAGTAGACCAGTCTCAGAGTGTCTCCTCCCCGTCCAGCCACTATGAGGGTGAGGGTGGAAAGGTACACACCTGTTCCCGGGGTCTATGGGCCCTTCTACCTTCCTGCCTCCTTCCTCCAGGGGCGTTCATTGCCAAGACCTGTAGGGAACAGGGACGTGTGGCCACTCTGCCCATAGAGTCACAAAGGCTCAGGATGGGAGAATCGCACTGTTCATTCCCCAGCTGGTGAGTCTTGCCCAGGGTCACACTGACAGCCACGAGGTCCAAGGGATCCGATGGGACCCCGCTCTCCGGAATCGGATTGCGGATTTGCTGCTGCCCAGGTCTTGTGGATGGAGTGAGAGTAGACACCAAGGTGAACTAGGCGCTCTAGGAGGGCACTTCGCAGGCCCGGACACGGACTGGCCAATGGGAAGCCGCGAAGGAAAGGGGCAGGTACTTCCGCTTGAGAGGAAAGAGGTGGAGCTTGGGGGCCAGGACGCCGGTGAATTCTAAGAGACAGCTTCCAGATCCTGGGAGTAGATACACCGTCTCCAGGTTGGAAGTAGTACTTCTGGGTTTGGGGCTCATGAACACTGGAGCACCTACTGCTGCTGGGTGGTATGGATGCCCAAAGGTTTTAGAGATTTGAGGCAGCAGGAATCCAGGCGCTTATTGGGCCCAAGAAGTAGTAGGGGATCTGCAGAAGGGTGGGCTCACTTTCAGGAGTTCTGTGGAAAAGAGGGTCAGCTCGTTCCCTCGAGTGACAGGATGGCCATCTGTGTCTTCCCCCAGAATTTCCCTGTCAAGCCATGGACCCTGAGGTGTCCCTTCTGCTGTTGTGCCCTCTTGGGGGACTGTCCCAGGAGCAGGTAGCAGTAGAGCTGAGCCCAGCTCATGATCGTCGTCCACTGCCTGGAGGAGACAAGACCATTACTGCCATCTGGGAGGCCCGGCTACAGACCCAACCCTGGATCTTTGATGCCCCCAAGTTCCGCCTTCACTCGGCCACACTGGTATCCAGCTCACCTCGGCCACAGCTGCTGCTGAACCTGGGACTAACTTCCTACCGGGACTTCCTGGGCACCAACTGGTCCAGCTCAGCCTCCTGGCTGAGACAGCAGGGAGCTACAGATTGGGGTGACAAGCAAGCCTATCTGGCAGACCCACTGGGGGTGGGTGCCACATTGGTCACAGCTGATGGCTTCCTTGTCCTCCTGAGCCGCTCTCAGCAGGTGGCTGAGGCGCCTGGAATGGTGGATGTGCCTGGAGGGCACCCTGAACCTCAGGTAAAATGACTGGCTTGGCACAAAATCCAAGCTCCTAGTTCTGGTTTTATTTTCTCTTAAAGGGAAAGGTGGCCTGGTGTTTCTGAGCCTGTAGCCTCCTGCTAGAGGGCTGTCTAGGAGAAAGTATGGGCCCAGCTGAGCACAGCCCATGACTCTCATTACTACTGGGAGGAAACAAGATGCTCACTGCCATTTGGAAGATCCAGCTATAGATCTAAGCTGAAACACACCTATGGAAGCTAGGGAACATGGGCAGAGAGGCTGAAGGGGAGATGTCTTTTCTCACCCAATCAATCCATGTAAACCTTCCTAGCTACACTTTTGATGCTTATTTGGAATAGGAGGGCCTGGGTTAGGGGATTGCCAAGACTCCCACACTGAATCTGCCCACAGCCAACAAGAGGAAAACAGTGTGGGAATTGGTGTAGATGAAGGCTGAGCCTAAATTTTTCACAGGCCCTGTGCTCTGGTGGCACCCCCCAGCACAAGGACCTCCCTGGGGAACTGGTGGCACATGAACTCTTCTTCAGTGTCCTACGGGAGATCTGTGATGAGGTGAGTGACAAGGGCTCCAGACATGATAGTCATGAGTGAGGGGGTAAGATTTGCTTGAAATCCACAGGCTTGGGCCAGAGTGAGGGTCTACATGAGCCTCGCTGGCATTGAGAAAGAGCTTATAGCGTTAACACTGAAGCCTCGATTCCTGGGCCCTCAGATTCTTTATTACAGTGGAAATAATGAAAAACGTCTCGTCTAGTCTGTTCCTATGTTTTCTGAAAAAAATAGTGAAATTCTTGGTTACTAAATCAGCTTCATTTGGGTAAAACAACTTCCCTGGACAATTTGTTCCATTTCTCATCTGTAAAATGAACACACTCAGAGCCTGTATTTTGTATAATGGGGCACTTGGCTAGCAAAACAAAAATGCCAAGGGTCACAAGCCATTGAGGATTGGGGCTATAGCTCAGTTTAGCTCTTAGATTGTTTGCCTAGCACAGTGGTTCTCAACCTTCCTAATGCTGCAACCCTTAATGTAATTCCTCATGTTGTGGTGACCTCCAACCATAAAATTATTGCCTTGCTACTTCATAAATGTAATTTTACTACTGCTATGAACCATAATGTAAATATGTTTTCCAGTGGTCTTAGGAGACCTCTGTGAAAGGGTAGTTTGACCTCCTAAGAGATTGTGAACCACAGATTGAGAAACACTGGCCTAGCATGTGCAAAGCCTGGGGTTTGATCTTCAGTACCATGTAAACCAGGTACAGTGGTGCATACCTGTAATTCCAGCACTCAGGAGGTGAGAAGGCAGAGGATCAGAAATTCTGGGTCATCTTTCTAAACATTGAGTTTAAGGCTAGCCAGGGCTACTTGAGGTCGTATCTCAACAAAAACAAACAAAGCACCAAACTAACAAAAGAAAAACCAGGCCGTTGAGCGGTCAGTCATCCTGACAAGGTGGGACTCCCTGCCACAGGTGAACCTGCCACTGCACACCTTGAGTCAGCCACTGTTACTGGGCATCGCTTGCAATGAGACCAGCGCGGGCAGAGCCAGTGCAGAGTTCTATGTCCAGTGAGTGGGCTCTGGGGTGCAGGGTCCTGGGTGGGGAAGGAGTGGGTTTGAGGCGACGGGAGTTCTGTGGGGTTCCCATAAAGTCTGGACATCCACCAAGCCACCCTCATGTTCTTGTCTAGGTGCAGCCTAACTTCAGAGGATGTCAGGAGTTACTACATGAGTGGGGGACCTGAGGCCCACGAGTCTACAGGAATCATCTTTGTGGAGACACAGGTGTGGAGTTGAGGCCTTCACAGTGGTCTGGTGATGGGGGAAAAGGGTAACTGGGTGACACAGAGAACTCCTAGAGGCTTGGCTCCTACCTAAGGGGGAAAAGCCCATGAACGGGGACACTACAGGAGTACTGAGATTCAGCAACTATAGGCACAGTCCCAGTAGAAAGGGAGATCTGATGTCTGGGTCTCACTGGTTTCTCACAGAGGGTACAGAGACTTCAAGAGACGGAGATGTGGGCACAACTCTGCCCTTCAGCCAAAGGCGCAATCCTCCTCTACAATCGCCATCCAGCTCTACAGTCGGATGCTGACAAGTCCCACCTGAGTCATCCTAGCGTCCCAGCCCAATTACTACAGCACTGAAGACAATAAAGGACTTTTATTCTTGAATACCATTGGCTTCTGCTGCTTCTGATAGTCTGGGATCCTCCAGGAGAAGCTGGGGTGGGAGGGGCTGGTCACGCGGCAACGCAGTCTCCGTGTGTCCCTCTTGTTTGGAGAATGTGGGCCACGGCGCAGTGAAAGCGCCTCTTTGAACCACACCTAGCTGCTGAGAGGGATACGCTGGGAGGCCTTCATCGAGGTCAGACTCGGCACCAGACGGGTAGACACCAGTACCTTTCAGGAACCCCGGCGCTTCCGCTTCACGGACTCTGGCACCTTAAACCAATGAGCTTACGGGGCCGGGTCCTTTGTTGCTCGTCCTCTCTTTCCTGCCCAATAAGCGTGGTGTGAGCCCTACACCAATGAGGGCATGGGGGCGGGGCCTGTACGAGCACAGGAAATGGCGGCGACCGCGGAGCCTGTGAGTGGGGGACAGGGGCGGGACTTGGCTGTGGCTCCTCCTTTGCACGCCCCCCCTAACGCAATATAGGTGGGAAGGGATGCCCCTGGTCCTGAGCGGGTGACCTGGACTTGGAGGCCAGTGCTGGCACGGCCGTAGCACTCGCGTCTGATTCTTGAGTAAAGAAGCCTTTCTGGAATCTGCTTCAGTCTGGCTTTGTGGGAAACTGAGGCAGGCTCCTTCCCTGTGCCCCGACAACCGAAGTCCGGCCCGATTCATGGGGACCCAATGCACACTTCTTGGGGGGGCTCCCTTTCCCAGATGCCCGCCCGCCGTCATCATGCCATCCCTGTTGCTCCTGTTGCCCCTGCGCCTATGCCGGCTGTGGCCCCGCAGCCCTTCCACCCGGCTTCTCACAGCCGCCACAGGGCAGCGGTGAGTTGAGCCCCAGATCTTGGCCATGTTGTTCAGTGGTTTTCTATTGCGAGCCCTGTGTTCTAAGATAGCTGTTTCTGCATTATATGCCAAGGGCCTTTAGATAAAGGTCTGTCTTAGATAACTCTCACCTTCAGTGCTGGACACTGAGCCTCAAGAGTTCAGAGCAGAGCCCCAAGATCAAGTGAGGTAAGTGGCAGATAGGGAATTTGAGCTCAGATCAAACCCAGTGAGTGCTCTTTCCATAGTTCTGGTATGTTGTCAGCCTTCTTCATGCATACACTGGGAAAGAGGAGGTTGAGAACAAAGATTTAGATTGCTGGGCTGCGATCTGGAGATGCTGGTCAGGAGGAATAAAGTGTGTGTGTGTGGGGGGGGAGGTTGAGGGTGGGAATCTGCTTTTTCCTTTGAGATGGAGTTTTCCTATGTTGCCCAATTGAGTCTCCAAACTCAAACTCCAGAGTATCTGGAGTTCAGGCACAGCCACCATGCCTGGCTTGGAAATCTTTCTTTCCTTCATTACTGGCCCCAGAACACAGAACTTCATGCATAAGAGGCCAGGAAATCCTTTATTTATTTGTTTGTTTGGTTGGTTTTTATACAGGATCTCAAGTAGACTAGGCTAGCTGCAAACTCACTAGTAGCCAAAGGATGACAGTGAATTTCTGACTTTGCCTCCACCTCCCAAGAGCTGGGATTACAAGTGGACATCACCTCACATCACAATGTTAAACCTTCGGTTTTAAATAAGTCTTTAGGGACTGCAGGATGGCTTAGAGATTAAAAGCACTTGCCAGCACAGAGGACTCAGATTTGGTTCCCAGCATCAACACAAGGACTTATAGCCACTCTCTTCTGATCTGTTGCAGGCACTAGGCATTCACGAGGTGCACACACCTACAAACACTCATATACATAAAGTCAAATAATAACACTTTAAAGAAGCGTTTAAGCTAGGATGGTGGTACCCACCTTCAGTCTCAGAACTTGGGGCAAAGGCAAATTCTATGAGTTTAAGGCTAGTCTGGTCTACCCAGGGAGTTCAGGTTAGACAGAGCTAGTGAGTGAAAC